AAACAGCCACTGGCCAAAAGGATGGCCCAGCACAGAAGATCAACATCATCAGGCCAGGATTCTGCGGTCTACACTCATCTCCAGGCCAGCGGTCACTCTTCCAAGGATGAAGATGTGCACATCCTGGACAGAGAGGAACGATGGTTTGAGAGAAGAGTAAAGGAGGCCATCTTTGTGAAAAGAAATCGTCCATCATTAAACAGGGGTGGAGGCCTCCGGGTTCAACTGTCCCCCTCTTACAATGCTGTGATTGCTAGTATCACTCAGCCCTCTGTGAACAGTAAACAGCCATCAGTGTGCTAATGATCCATTGTTAGGCTGATGGTCCTTCTTGAGCATGTGATCAGCTGGTTTTGGTTGTCAGCAACAAAACTGGTTGATCCACCCTGAGAAGGTGCTATTTAAGAGACTGAGCTGAATACAACTCCTCAGACTGAGGAAGTCTCTCGGATGAGAGACGAAACGTTTCTACATTTTTTTGTTGATTTGCTTTGTTTTGTGTTTTTGAATGTCCAGAGGACCAGATTTAACTTTTTTAGATTTTTCTACCTGGATTATTGAGCATGCATCAGGATGTCTCGGGTGAAGTTTACGTCATGACGTCAGACGTACTAAAGCTGCATTAAGCTTAATTGTTTCACTTGAACTCAAAGTAAAAAGTTCATTTCAGATAAAATGTATGACTTTTAAGTTAATTGAACCTATAAAAGTAAGTTGTCTTCATTAAACCAAAATAATTTGTTTCTCTCTTTTTTAAGTGAGATTAAATGAGAATTAAGTGAGATTAATTAAGTAAGAATTAATTACGATAATTAATGTATTATCATCATTATTAATAATAATTAAGTGAGAATTAAGAATTAAGTGAGATTAATATAAATGAGTGCCTAAAATGAGCCCAAATGGTAACAATGCCTGAATCCTCATTTATAAATATGAAAAGAACCAAAACATAAATCAGCTCCAGTGTTTCCTCATTCTGTGCTGCTCGACAGCAGGCGACATTTCTGAAGGTTGCAAGTGTTGCTTTTCACGCGTCTCTGCGGGGGAGGTGGTATTTAACCACAGGAAGCATGACCATATAAGGCTCGAGCAGGACGAGAATCCCTCGGTTAGCTCACAGACCACGAGACCATGGATCCACGCAGACGGCAGCTGGACTTCACCCACGCTCACTGTGGAATCAGAGGGGATGCCGCAAAGTCCCCGCAAGCTGTGAAGCTGTCTGAGGGGAAACGAATGCGTGTGAAAACACGCAAAACCTGCTGATTTATTTGTTACAGGGAATCCTCTAAATCTGGCAGATTAATAACAAAGTGGTAAAATGTTATGAAATTCTGTAGCATTATATATGATTCTTTACAAAAACATATTTTTATTCCCCCTTATTTTTACTGAATGTAAAAGCACAACGCTTCATTTAACACAAAAAGAATGTATTATCCGACTGAGCCCATTTTTTAATTCAATTTGCTTTCAGTTCATATAATTTATTTTTCTTCAAATTGTTTTACAGCTTGTGTAACTGAGCCAGAACCTGCCTGATAGTTTATGTAATGCTGGATCCTTTCATTTCATAAATTTTGTGTACCCCTACAATATATTAGAATTTCAGTGTCAGTGCTTGAAGCGTGTGTTGGGGATGACTCTCAGCTACTACCACAACATATTTGAGCTCATATAGCTCTAAACTCGACTGAGTGATGGTCATCTTTGTGTTAGCTAAGGCCGATTAGTTAGCGACCAACTTGAATCGAGTTGACTTCAAATGTTAATTAATTTTAGATGTCTGTCCAATGATTATTTTACGGATGTTTCATTAAAATCTGACCCATAATTCATGAGATGTTTTGTTAACAAACAGTGCTGACACCAAAAGGCCAAAGCCTTAAATAAAAATATCGCCCAAGGTATTAATGCAATGTGCTAGAGATGACTTTCAGCTACCACCACACGAAAATGCAGCTCAGCATCTGTAAAACAGGCTGTTACAAACATTTATGTGTTCCCCCCTAAAATCAGTTCAGTGAGGCGGCCATCTTGAAAGAGGTTGACTCCAAAAGCTAATCAGATGTGGTTGCATAACCACTGATTACTTTCTGAAAGTTTAATTACAATCTGTCGACTAGTTCATGAGATATTGTGCTAACAGACAAACAAATCACACGCACAGACAGCAGACATGAACACCTTGCGGGCGATAACAAACACATATTCCTGTAATGCGTGGATTTAGACAGTGTTAATATGATTTACTGTACAGCAGGTGGTTTGTTGGGCTGAGTCATCCTGATGCGTTTCAGCACCGCGGACAGCGCCGCCCTGTCCATCACCCTTCACAGGGAGGCCTCTGGGTTTTACTGATAAAGGCGTGCGTGTGTGTGTGCGTGCGTGTGTAGGGGGGGGTGTCGGTGGTCGTCATTTATAAGAAAGCAGAGCTGGAGGGAACCGCAGTGGGCGGAGCCACATTGATGCCGCATTTTTCTGAATGAAATTACTCCACATCCACCTTGTCCCCTCCCTATGTTCTCGCCGCATCCGATATGCGGGCCTCTGATTGGTCGAGCCCCCTCTCTCCCCCAGTCACTGACGTCAGACGGGCTATCTTGTGGGTAAGTCTCGCGCCGGAGCATCCATTCTGCCTCCTGTGAGCGCTTCGGAGAGACTGAAGAAGAAGAGGACGATGAGATGCGACCCATGCCAGGAGGGGTTTGGATGCGAGCTTGATGAGGACTAGAGGACAGGGTCTGGGTCTTTTTAACCCCGCAGCTGCAGCAGCTTCCTCTCAGACCTTATTCTGCTCCGGAGTGGATAAAAGAGCACAGATCCGCCGAACACCCGCAGAGGACGGTGTCGTGTTGAAAAGGTGAGCCGAATAATTTACATCTCGTGCTTGTTCGTGCGCGTCTGTGCGCTGAGCTCATCTTCTGGTGCAGCGAACCAGTACAGGGTGTTTCACCGAAGAGGGAAATACTGTACCTCCTCCTCCTCCTCCTCCTCCTCCTCCAGGTGAAGGAGGACGGAGAAGACTCCTGGAACCGCGTGTTCTTTTTAAACGCTTTAATGTCCAAATGATCGATCAACATCAAAGCACTCCTTTTATGATTTGATACTAAAAAGGAGTAACTGCATTTTGATCTTTTTTTTTTTTTTTAAGATCCTGCATAGAGAGTCGGGTTATCTACCTTTGAATAACTAATTCATTACCAGCTGTTTTATTTTAAAACAATTAATGTCATGCAAGGTCTTTTCAGTTGTCAAAAAACTCTTTGCTCAAACACGTTCAACCATTTTCAAGACTTAATTTGTTTTACAAAATTATACGGAAAAGATTCAGCTCAAACAATAAATAAATCAAGTTTAGGAGTGTATAAAACCTGGATTTACTCTGATGGATTAAGCGTGACTTCAGGGGCGTCACCAACGTGGGAAGTTGGGGGGGGGGGGGGGTGGCCCCCCCTTGGCCAGAAAGTCTTATCCTTCTGAAACCTGGGTTTGGTGTAGATTTATCATTTTCACTTTGGATTATAGAACCTAAAACAAAACAAAAAAGTAGTTTTTTTAATCAGTATAAAATAAGAGACATGTTGATAAAATACTTCAATAAAAGACTTGAGTCTACCTGGTTAAGGACAACAGGTGTAACAGAGATAAATATTTGGATGCAGAAAGCCATCGTCCTTTCAGAATGCAGGTTTTCAGGGCGTTACAGTTTGTGCATACATTTTGTTTTATAAATCTAAATTTTAAAAATATATGCCAACAACATAAAAAATATGGAGATCCTGTTATGGATGATGTTGTGCCACCATTGTTGGTTGCTCTCATCTGGTCCCCCTTTAAGAACTTTCCTGCACAGATTGTGACGTCACTGATGATGTTAACCAGCTGGATTACTAACAAAATCATAAAGTGATTAGAAAAGGAAACATTTTGAATGTATTTTTTTATATATATATAACAAGACTGTGTAGGAATGTAAAACTGATTTTATGAGATGATGAAGCCGTAGAGCACCTGAAGCTTTTATGGCTCAGCTGCATGAAGAATCACTGTGGATAAAAAGATTGGCTGAAACTCATGCTATCCTCTTTCTCCTTCATTTCTCTCTCAGGTTTTACCGGTGCTCCTGTGGACCAACCATGACCCTGAACATCTCCGAGCTAGGCTGGGATGAGTCCTCTGGTTTGGACCCTTTCTTTCCGCTGGACCAGCAGGAAAGCTCACCTTCACCTCAAGTCCCACCTCTCACCATTTGGGGCGTGGCCCTTTGCATTTCTGGAACTCTCATCGCCACCGAGAATGCCGTTGTCGTCACCACCATCTTGGCCACCCCGTCGCTTAGGGCCCCGGTCTTCTTGCTGCTCGCCAGCCTCGGGCTGGCCGATCTCCTGGCGGGCGTGGCGCTCATCCTGCACTTCCTCTTCCGGTTCTGTATGGAGCCCAGCGATTGGTCAGAGCTGCTGACCTCAGGACTGCTGGTGACCTCTCTGACCGCCTCGCTCTGTAGCCTCATGGGCGTTGCCCTGGACAGGTATCTATCTTTGAGCCACGCCCTCACCTATGGCTCGGGTCAGTCACGCCGCTGGGCTGCCTCCCTCCTGCTGCTCGTCTGGTTGGCGGCCTTGGTTATCGGTGCAGGACCGGTGATGGGATGGCACTGCCTCGAGGAGCCAAGTTCTTGTTCCGTAGCACGACCTTTGACCAGGACATATCTATCGTTGCTGTGTGGGGGCTTTTTAGTGGTTGTTATGGTAACCTTGCAACTCTATGCTGGGATCTGTCGCGTGGCAAGGCGACACGCCCACGCTATAGCCACCCAGAGGCACTTCCTCCCCACCAGCCAGCCATATGCAAGCAAACACGGCAGCGGAAAGGGTTTCTCCCGGTTGATCGTGGTCCTGAGCGTGTTTGTGGGCTGCTGGATGCCTTTCTCCCTCTGGGGGCTGCTAGGCGACGCGTCCAGCCCCCCTCTATATACCTATGCCACCTTGGTGCCAGCTGCAGGCAGCTCCCTGCTCAACCCCATCCTCTACAGTCTGAGAAACAAAGACATTCGCAAGGTGCTTCTCCTCGCCTGCTGCCCTCACAGATGCTCGCACAACGCACAGACTCACCACCCAGTCGACGTGTAAACCGCCTTACCGCCCTGCTGTCAAAGCAACACGCAATCCATGCTAAACATATCATGTGCCAAAACACAGACTCTGCACTCCCTCCAACACACGCGAGCAGCATTTTTCAGAGATGAAGCACTCCAAAACAATCAGAATGTACTGAACTGTCCTCACCGCCAGCCAAATTGGGACTACGTGTACCGTCCGGTTTATTCTTCGTGCCTCAGTCGACTGTAGCTCTGCTGGATCCCCTCTAACTAAAGCAATCACAGGGACGCTACAGGTTTTGGTGTATTTGAGTGTCAGCACTTTAAGAGGAGAGGAAGCACTGGGTTTTTAACAGGAGGCCAAACAGATGTGATCAAAGCCCAGTTTTATTTACTTGAATTTCTGGAAAACAAATGTAGATCTGTGGGATTAGATTTTTGCACATGTTGATAAAAAGCACTTTGAAAAAGTACTGACCATATGTTATTTCATTCTTTTTCTTTTTGGTTGCACAACGTTTTTGAAACAGATGAATATTTTATACTGATGAATAATAAATAAGCTCTTTTTTTATACCGAATGAAGTCAAGACTGGTCTCTTTTCTGCTGCTGAAGCTTTTAGTGCGTTGGTCTTCTCTCAGTTTAACTCACTTTGACACACACCGGTGCTCTAAATTATTTGGTGGCAGTCGACATCGTTCTTTCAGTCTCTGAATCTTTTAATAACATCATGAGGATGCAGCGATTACGCAAGGTTTTCCTCTCACTCCCCCCCCCCATCAGCACCAGGCTCTGTGAAAAGGTGTCCACCAATATAAACAGGATGAGTCATACAGGGATTGTTTGTTATTTCAGTGTTGCTTACTTAAAAAAACAACTTTAAACCGACGTTGTTTCACTTAACATTTATTGAAATAAATCATTTGGAAACCTAAAAATGAAGCAAAAAATTTGCTAAGTGTGCTTGGAAACTGGCAGACTTAACAGGAAAGGCACTTTAAATGTTATTTATCAAATGATGCGGTATCATTTTACTTAGGACCAGTGAATGTTAATGCACAGGCAATGAAATGCAGCACAAAAAGGCACATAATGAGGCAACAGGCTACCTCAAATCTTTATCACTGGTTAAAGCTAAATAATTACTTCATTCCCCCCCATACACAGAAAAGAAACAAACAAAAAAAAATTATCAAGAAAGCATAGATATAATACGTTATAAAATATAAAGAATTTAGGGAAAATGTTTGCATAAGTTCAACCTGGCATCCTTGTTGTAAGACATGTCAGAATCTATCTTCCATCATCATGAATCATTAATTTAAGAGCTTACGAGCTACAATAATTTGTTCCCGTGGTCATAGCAAAAAATACAAAAATACAAAGGGGTGGGGAGGAAAAGGCAACCAGGTTGTGTCTTGGAAGGACTTTTAAATTCTTGAAATAATTAACTTTGGTAAATACACTTTAAAATGTAAACTTTGAATCTATTGCATAATCTGTGACTAAGACTTTAGTCTAGACTAAAGCTATTTTTAAACATCGGAGGTCAACATCAAGTGTGTCAACATCCACCGTTATGTCGTCATAATTTACTGCAGTGAGTAAAAAAAGTGGTTTGCCTGAAGTTCATGGTGTTTTCTGATTATAGGCACTAAAAACAGAGATGGAGTTGATGTGTTGAAGCAGATGATCACAGACAAAGGGCACAACATCACATATAATACTACTAGATCAACAGTGGTGCGTTGCCCAGACAAATGAAGGTAAACTGGGGAGTCAAACAGGAAATAGTTAAACTTATTCTTCTTCTTTGCACCATCGCACCTGATACGAGTTAGTCTGAATAAATGGAATTAAACTGGTCAAGAAATGTGATATAAAAATGTCAATTCGTCCTACCTGCACAAACAAACATGTACTTAAAGAATGTGACAGATGCTGATCAAGGCTAAGGGAACATGGCGGTAGTGACGACAAAAAGAGATGGCGATCATTCGGACCACTCCTCATCGTCAAACTCTGATGAGTCATCCTCACTGTCGCTGCACTCCACAGCGATACGACGAGACAAGATGGCGGCCACATCGTTGCCAGAGTGATCCCTCTTCTCCTGCTCCAGCTGCGCTTCCACTTTACGCAGGTTGAAACCTAAAAAGGAGGTTGAATATACGTTAGGAGACGCGTGCAGCGTCAATTAGACACACGTTCCAAGAGCGATCTAAACAAAAACAATAATGCTGAATATTAAAGTTGCTACAAAATAAACAAAGTGGAAATGTTTGACCATAAGACACATCCTAACAGAGAAAATCAAGCAGCTTATCAGCACAAAGGCCTATCACCAACTGACAAGCACGGCGGTGGTGAGTTGATGGTTTGCGCTTGTTTTGCAGCTAACAATACACAAGTGCCTTGCAGTCACCTCTGTAATTTTTATTTATTTTTTTAAACAATATAAAGTTCTATTTAACATAAACGGCATTGGAACTGGAGATGGCAGCTGTTCTGGAGAAGCCAGCCACAAAGTTATAAACGTTACTTTAGTGACGTTATTCTCCGACATGAAACCAAATTCTGTAAAGAATTGGTGGACTTAGGACCAAAACACAGAAGTTGAAACTAACTTCAATGTAGGTTGGGCCTAGTATTACTATTAAGCCCCGCCCCCTCAATGTAAACCAATACGACGTTGCCCAGGTTACACAATAAAAACACTTGTGTACACCATGAATGTGTGTGGGGCAGTAGGCAGGACTTAAAGCCTCACATCCTTAGTGTGTACTCGAAAGTACAACATGGCGATGTTCAATTGTGGTGCTCCAGTTAAAGCATGGGATGTAAACCAATTCATGATGACGTCCACTCCCAACAATGAAAAGAGGAGTAGACGTTTGGTCCATCATTATGCGTTTGTTTTTGACGCATTTACTTGCATTTATATTATAATTGGTTAATTTAGCCCAAACATCAGAAAGTTTGGCCATGACTGAAGACTACACAATGTAAACAAAACTTGTTGGTCAACTGACAGCAGCAGCTTCATCATTAATCTCAAACCATTACAATGACTTTATATAACCATAAAGACAAATGATGTCCTGAAGTGGATAAGTACAGTGAGAAAAAGCTGAAAAATGGCACCAATTCAACACTGGTTCCTGAGTGTCACCCCAAATATTGGAATGATGTCACTCCACTGCTGTGTAAAGTGGGGCTGGTGGGGTTAGTCTTCAAAGATTACAACACACAGCTCATGAGACTAAAGCCGTCGATCAGTCATTATTTACTTCTCTATCTCTCTCACTCTATCTACTGTCTCTTACATTACCAGGAAAACCCCATTAAACGTGTTTATCCATCCACTCGGCGGTGGTACATTTAAATTTTACGTTCACCTCCCTCTGCTGAGTCTTACCTTGCCGAATGGCCTGCAGGAGGTCACTGCGAGCATCGCTGGGAGGAGCTGGTTGAGGTTTAGGAGCAGAGGCGGGTGCCACTCCACTGCTGGGCGGTGGAGGAGCAGAACTGTCAGAGGATAGAGGAGGAGGAGGCCCGGGAGGCGGAGGAGGTGGTGGAGGAGGTGGCGGCCCGCCACCTGAAGGTATAGGTGGTGGGGGAGGAGCAACAGTGGGCATATCAGGTGGGGGAGGCGGAGCAGGTGGAGATGGATAAGAGTTGCCAAAGGAAGGAGGAGGTGGAGGGGGTGGGGCGCCAAAGCCAGGTGGAGGTGGCGGTTCTCCGAAACCGGAGGGTGGAGGAGGGGGAGGTGGAGCAGGAGGAGGAGAGAGACCTGGACGGGAGTTTGGTGGTGAAGAGGCCATGGGGGGAGCTGGAGGAGGGTGGGTTGGACTCATCACGCTGGTGCGCTTCTGTGCCGGCGCTCCATACTGTCCGTCATTATACCTGCAGGGGAAGGGCGACGCACCGACATCAAACTGGAGTCACGGTTCACATTAACAGCATCAACACATCCAGAGTCAACGGACCACGTCCTGACTGCTGAACACATCTGCACAGCAACACGTGCAGCTGGACCGTCACCACAGGGCGAGTCATGAGCCGGCTGTTTGCATGATGCTGGAGTACTTACGCCATGTCTGGGGGTGGAGGAGGCAGGAAGTCTTCAGGACCAGGCGTACCAGGTGTAGGCAGAGGGGAGCCAGGATCGAAAGCGTAGGAGCCGGTACTCAGATCAAGGCCTCCAGGACTAAAGCCATCCCCTGATCCGATACTGCCGTTCAGACCGTCAGAATTTCTTAAAGCAAATAAAACAAATCATCATCAGCCTGAAATAAAACCGACCAAACAAACAGAATTAGCAGTTGGTGCGCATGTAAAACTTAAAACAGTAAATATCAAAACACATTAAAATTACTCACTGATATTTTAAGACACTCACAGTTATTAAAAAAAAGTATATAAAGTCAGAAAAAAGAAGTAGAAAAGAACAGCTTGTTAATAAACAGAAAACATGACTCACTGCAAAGAAATAAAACGTTAAAAATCTGCAGAAAATCTTTAGAGAAATTAGCGTAAATTAGTGTGAGTCCAATAATTATTTTATTTTGTAAGCAAAACAATAAAAAAATTAAAACCACACCAAATAAATGAGCACATAAGGCATCCTCCATCTTATAAATCATATTAGTTTCTTATTGTGACAAAAAAATATATATTTTTTGCTTGTTTATATTTGTAGTCGTTCTAATATCCCCTTTTTAAATATGTGCTTTAAAATTGTCTTAAAGAGCAGCTAAAGGGAAAAAATAAGTTGCAGTTTCTACTGTTTAACATATTTCAAATGAACATTTTCTATTTCAGATCACACACCAGAGAGATAAATAACCACAAACACAAGAAGTAATGCATTTGTTTACAGCTGCTTTTCAGCGACAGCCCTACACCCACCCCTCGGAGAACATTCCCAGACAGTACGTACCACCCATAATCACTGTGTACAGATTGGTTGATAAGGAGGGGGGACGACTCGTCACGTGGGCTTCTGATTTAGACTTCTACTGTGTTAACTAGAGAGAAGCTTTTATTTTCAAAGTCCAGGCTAGGTGACTCTGTTTATAGATGTAGAGCCGGAGTGCACAACAGAGTGCACAACAGAGTGCACAACAGAGGGGACAGTGATTTGAGCTTCCCAAAAATACAAGCAGAGCCACATCTCTGCAGAGAAACACACCAGCCAAACTTCTAGTGCCTAGTGTAATTGTTGTTTACGAAGCCTAAAACCAAAAAGAAAACGTCACCGGACCCCTGCTTATTATACAAGAGAACGTTAAGTACCATATTTTTCGGATTATAAGGCGCAATAAGAGAAACTAAAACATTTTTGAGATTTTTAAGCACCGTGCACCACATAAAATTGGTTTGATGTCAGTAAGCACAACCAGAATTAATACATACGGCGCAGCAGATGATAAGGCTCACCGTTGATTTTTGAGAAAATTAAAGGATTTTTGAAGTGTGCCTTAATAGGCCGAAAAATACGATAAAATATATTTTCACCACGGTGAGACGTTTACTCTGGCCAATCTGTGGATGTGCTTGATTAACCTGCCGAGATTTTTCATCCCACTTCACTCACAGTTCATTCTTTGCCACGACAAACTCTTCTCCCATCTTGAGGCGTTCCCACTCATCCTTCCTGGTCTTGATCTTTCGAACGTTAACCATCCGGGGGTTCAGATGGTCTTTCTTCTCCTTCTGCTCAGAAACAACAAGATTACTGCGTTAAAACTCGAGCGCTTTAACTCTGATGTGACTAACGCCAACGTGTTTGGACACTGTGACTCATGCGCAGTAATGTGTCTCACTCTGTGCTTGCGCCTCTCCTTCATGATGTCCTTGGTGTCCTGCAGCATCTTCTCCTTCCACAGGTCAAAGAAGTAGGAGGGATCGGTGTAAAACTTCAGGGCCTCCTTCCCATCATCCCTGCAAACAGACTTAAGAGTCAAGAATTACTCACGTTTTATCTCGTGGGCAAAAACGCAACAAAACGTGCCGAGATCTTTATCTGCCTTATTTATGAAAAAGACATTTAACTCCCCTTATAATGATTTAGTTAAAAGCAGACCAGATTAACACATGTGCAAAGAACAGTCACAGTATTTTATTGCATGTTCTGCAGCTCCACCTTACCGGTATTGACTGAGGTGGTTGAGGGGTGGAGGAGGATTGCAGGTCGTGTAGGTCTCTTGCACAGGCTCCGGCAGAGACGGCCTGGTGAACAGCTGCTGGTCCTGGGTCAGACTGCTGCGGAAGGCCTTACGGGAAGTGATGGCCTGCAGAGAAACTGCGAGAAACAGGAAGATGAGTAAGGTTGTTAAATATTTAAGGTGCTTAAGAGAGGAAGTAAATGTCTTCTGAAACGTATGGAACATAAACTGCAACAATAAAAGTGTAGGAAGCTTACCTTCTTCTTCTTTGGGGTCCAGCTGGGTGACTTTAACCTGCAGACGATCAACTCTTTCTCCCAGTGAGTTGACTCTGGTGGCAAATGCTCCAGCCACCACAAACAGCTCCCCAAACACATCCTCTGCAAATTTACCTGCACAAAAAAAATATAACTAGATTAAGAACTTGGTCTCATGCCAAGAACCGCAAACTCACAACTCCGTAAAAAAACAAAACACACAGAGTCATGACTCACAGAGGCTGCCGAGCTGCCGGATGATGTTGGCCAGGCTGATGTTGGTCACACACTCCAGCTCACTGCGGATGTTGGTGGGGATGGTCTGACGGCACAAATGCCGCGGCTCTATGTTCCTCGTCACCAAAGGCATGGTGGGGTGTGGTGGTTAGGGCAGCCCAACCCTGATGGAGACGAACAGAAGTGTTACTTGAGTGACAGGGTGTTAATTTACCATACAGTTAAAAATAAATAAAAAGTCTCCTGTTATCCCCCATTTTTTTATATTTTGCTTCCAAAGAACAAGACTTTCTTGTAAACTCATAATGTGGTTTTGATCCGTTACACTTTCTGAAGGTCTTTCAAAGATTTTCTTTTGACTTTGGTTGCTTCTTTTGTTCATTTTCAGTCCAGTTCCTAACCATTTACAGAGATACGGTTTTTGTGTTAGGACACTTAACCCATGACTCATTCAGACATAAAAAGTCATTTAAATCAAGCGATGAACCAGATTATGTTCAAACTGACACGTTAATAATTTTAAATAGGCACTCCGTTACAAGCAGCTTGACAAAGACGTAATTTGTTCATATTTATTCAGTGGAAATGGTAATGTGACTTATAAACTGGTGTTCTAGCACCAATGAGATGATTCCCAAAAAGCTAGCAGAAACTTTAGTATACAGAAAATAATCAACTAAACAATTATGCATTTTGCAGGTTCAGTGTCAAGTTTTAGGTGATTTTTTTTTTTCATGTTTCTTAACATAACTTGTGCAATGTTCAGCTGCTGGCAAAGTGATTTTAGCCTGACACTTCTTTTTTTTTTGCTTGTCACTTGTTCACTTTCCTCTTTTTTTAAGCACAAACTGTAGAATAAGCTGTCATGGTCATGTACTGGACAGAAAATGAGTGTAAAATCAGCTAAAGTGTAGAAAACCTTTCAGAAAGCTTTAGTATCTATTGATTAGAGGATCCATTTAAAAATGACTACAACTTCTGTTTCAGTGTAAAAGAGGTGATTTATAACATTTGCATGATTCACAAAAAATTTAAAAAAATAAGAGCCACACTGACACGAGGCAAGCTTCTCTTCAAATGTGTGCCGGTATATATTTTTAACTCAAGCACTTACAAAAACAAATCTATCAATTAATCATGCTGCTTTTGTTTATTTTCAGCGAAGATTTGGTCTAAACATGTTTTTTTTTTTTTAATTAGAGGTTTTTTTTTAGTCTGTTAAGCCATAAACCTCAAGTTTCTGAAACATCAAAACATCTTTGAATATCTAAATTCAAACGATGAACAGAGCTCTCTCATATGAAACGGATTAGCAAGAAAAAACTATTTTAAAACTGCATCTTTAGGCATTTTGCTACGACCAATTTGCTACAGTGAGACAAACTGTTCAAACTCTTAAGTTTTTATCTGCAAAAATGACCGATAACATGGTCTGACAAACAAAAAAACATTATAACTCCACTAACAAGTGATTTCAAATTATGGAAAGCTTGGTTCTTTGAAAGAAAAACAGGGCTTTTTTCAGTGGATGATTATTTTGTGTTGGTGACACTTTATGGTCTGTACAATTAAATCCAATTAATTGACAACACAAACACACCAAGTCCCAGGCTCCTCTTTAGTAACAGATGTATAAATAACTGAGCTAGACAAAACTGTAGCTTTGCTCAGCAACAATCACCCCACAGACTAAATACTTTTTACATAGAGTTTAGGAGTTCACAGCAGAGTAAATATATTTGTGAAGCTCTCAGAAACAAAACCTAATGGAATAATTTCAGAATAAAAGCTCCCATCAGGCCCTCATAGATGACGACTATGGAAAATACACCCTTCCTATTTTGGTTCCCTAATTACAAGTGATTCGTTTCAAAACAGTGACGAGGTACTGTTGAAAAGTCACAAACAAGTGCACTGTTAGTCAAACTCATCTTCACTCGTCCTTCCGAGATTTATTTAGTTTAGCCAAAATGAAACGACCTGACCGTGAAGTTTACTCGCTTCGTGAAAAACTTATTCCATAGTTCACATTCGTCTCCAGCTGACTGGCTTCATTTCGTGTCACTGTTTCAAACTTGGTTATTCTGTTTTCATACATCAAAAGACGAGATAAATAGTCCAGACTTTAACGCCCGCAACATTAGCTAAAACAGGCTAAAGTGTAAAACTTAGGATTTCGGCCTCGTCAGAGCAGGAAGTAAACTTTGCAGGCGCCTCTTATCTCGAAGGAACCGCCAAACAGGCCCGTCACTTTATGAAAACGACACTAACTACATTATTTTTCACTCACCGTTAAAGCTTGAAGCTGTGGAGGCTCCCTTTAATCCCCGCTCTTTGATTTCTCTCGAGATTTCCTGATGAAAACGGTGAAGCAGCTCGAGCTAAACAGCTCCTCAAAGGACCCCAAACTGCGAACTTCTGATTGGCTGTCAGATCGAGCTCCTCGAAGCTGATTGGCTGTCACGGCTGTCATTTAGCAGTAGCTGAAAACCGGATGCGGATACGTCAACGCAAAGAGCGCAACTCCACCCAAACTAGCAGCGAACATCTGTCCGTAATTTTCGTAAGGGAGGGTGGAGGCAGCGCAGCATTCCGACGTGCGCTCCAGCGAGTCGGAACGCGTCCGAGGAATGGCTATAGACAAAACGAAGTTTAAAAACAGTCGCAATGGACTTCCTGAACCTCAGCTCAGCCGATTTTAACTGGAAGTGCTTCATCAGAGAGGACCTAAAGCTCTCAGGTAAAGTAAATAACGTTATAAAACATGCACCAGTGTTTATTTGAATTTTGCAATAAGGTCACCACATCTTGCAGTGCAACGCAAACATGTAGTCTGAAACAAGCAGCTAACCCCATCACTGGAACCATTTATTTGGAAGGAGGGGGAATGGGATGCGACTAATTACTGATGGAACCATACCACAATTCAGAAAAAGCTGACAGAATGCAGTGATTTGCAGATCTCCTAAACCCATATTTATTCACAGTAGAGTACAGTAAACAAATCAAATGTTAAAAATGAGAAATTGTACCATTTGAGGGGTAAAGAATAAGATAATTTTGAGTTTTATGGGAGCAATGTGTGGCACTGCATTAAAAACAGATCTGATTCTGTGACAGACATCATGGGGTCAGGAACAGAAGAGGACAGGGACCATGCAGCCCATTATCGGCACACAGCTCTGCCTCTCTGTTGGTATGGGGGCACATTAGTGCTTAAGGCAAAGGCAGCTTACATATCTGGAAATGCACCATCAATGCAGAAAAAACACACAGGTTTCTTTACAGTACAACATATACTAACATCCAGCAAAGAAGACCAAGGACTTCCGTACAGCTAGAATCCTATCAGACAAGAACAGGACAACTTTCCCCAAAAAACTCCATCAGCTGTGCTTTGTTCATAGACGTTTACAAAGTGGTGTTAAAAAAGGGGGTGCTCCACAGTGGTAAACATGGCCTCGAAACAAATTTTGTAGCTGTAATAAAATTTGAATTAAAAAAATGGTCCACTACTTAGTTAAACATCTAGTTTTATTATGTTCCACAGGGCTGCGGTCACTCAGTGGTCAGTGCCATGGTCTCGTAATCCTGGGGCTGTAGGTTTGAGCCCGAGCTGCATCAGGAAAGGCATCCATCTAGAAACAATTGCCAAATCTTTTAATGTAAAATGAAAAACAAAACAACTATGCTCTGTTAAAAAAAAGGCCTTTATAAAATTTCAACTCACTGAATTTTGTTTTAACTTCTAGTCTTGTGTTGGTGCAATAATGGAGGATAAAAAGATTGAGTAACTCTAATTGTGGCCTCGTCACCCACCTGAAACATCTTGAAAAGGAAGAATGCAGCCACACCTGTAGGAGTAGTAGCCCACACAACTCAAGTGAACAATTTGTTTTGCTGTTTTGTTGGTGCGCAACACACACAGTTAATTTAATTCAATTCAGTTTATTGAACAGAAACATACATAAAAATAATTTAACACTATTTATCTGAGGAGCAGACTGCTTTGAATTTAATTTCATCACAGAACTCTCATAATGCCTTAAAATAAACCCCGACGGCAGCCTGAGGTCTTATTAAATCCAGCTGATGGAGAGCTGAGCCACTCACATACGGCTGAACATCATTTTCGTTTAATGAAAACAATCTGAAGAGCAGACAAAAGACACAAATACTATTTCACATTTTTATGGATGAAAAAATAGTTGAGGATACATAAAAACATTTGTGGATTGTCCATGTGTACTAGGTAAAAAAAAAAAGTAATAAAAAAACTAACTCATACAGAAAACCTAAACCTGACAAAACACCTAAAGACGAAAAACTGAACACAAGATTATGTTCATGTATTTATAATTATTATGATTAATAACAATAATTAGGAGTACTTATAAGTCTGCAAAGATGGAAGGACACAATAAAAAGATGGGTAAAGACAGCTTCTTTAATGGTAACTTGTTGGAAGCCTTGAATAAAAGCTGAGAGTCCACATTTTAGTCACACATTTATCAGTTAGTTCTGGTGTAAAGAGACAAAAAAACTAAATTGAAATATTTATTGACCTGGATGTATTTGCTGTAGCTGAGCATTAAGAAGTTTGACTTATTTTATGTAACATTAAGTCACAAACAGCAGAAAACAAACAATACTAAAGGCTATAATATTTATATAAGCACAGAGTCTCACTTTAATTTCAGTTCTTCCATGTAAACATTTATAACGCATCAAAATCTTTTTGGGTTTTCATAAAAATATACCAAAATGTGTTTTCAGTAAAACAAAATAGATAAAACTGTTTTTAATATTGATATTTTTACTTCTTATTGTTGGCTTTACTGCTTGTGTGAATACAACTCTGAAGGTAATATGTTTTTTGACCACTAGAGGGCGCTCTCATGCGAAGAAATGTGTGTTCTTAAAACCCTCAAGAGAAACATGCCACAAACACTTAACTGCTTTCAGTGATCTTTTCATGTTTGTGTGACGTCATCCACAGCAGCATGCTCAGCTCGGTCCATGTTTGTGTTTGAGTGTCGGTGACGTGTGTGTGTGTTCACCCAGCTGAGAGTGTAAGAGCTGCGAGCGTCCGCTGCTGCCTGTTTCAGGACGCCGTAACCATTTCCAGGTGAGCTGTGAACCAGGTGGAGTCCAGAAGCTTCGATTCCCCGGAGGACGCTGAACCAGTAGCGGAGCACTTCCTCGTCGGTTCCGCCCACCTCAAACCCGGCCCAGTGCAGGTGCATCGTGGCAACCAGATGACGGATGTTTTGGATAGTTCCCACTTCGATCCAGTTCTGAAAAAGCCGCCACTCAGCACTTAGGAGGTCAGCATACATGAAATGGACCTGAGAGGAAACAAAATTAACTAACAGAACCTTAAATTGAGAAATTGATCAATTATTCACAGAATCGTGCTGTTTGTTTTTTCTTTTACATTGAATTTTATTATTGTTTCAACACAAAAGAAGTAAGAGACAAACAGATTCAGAGATGTACCCTTATAACTGATTGACCTTTGCACTTAACCCCATTCAAGATGGCTGCCCCCGCTAACCACTGAAATTGTTATAACTCCATCAGTTTTATAGATACTGATTTCAAAGACAGTTTCTGAATGTCTGCAGTTTGCACCAGATCTTTGTTTAAAATTTTACTATTAATTAGAGTAAACTCAGTTTGTTAGCAGAATCTCTTACAAATCACTGGACATATTTTAATGAAACTTTCAGGAAATAATAATAGGCCACACTTCTTCAAATGATTCAACTTTGGAGCAAACTTAATTTAAAATTGCTCCCAGTCAGCTGAACTTACAAAACACAACGTTGGCAATATTTCAGAGAGAGTCACTCCGAGTGCTACTCATTACGCAACATCTTTGCTTAAAACATTAGCATTAACTATTGGGAGTAAATTCTGTCTGTTAGTAAAATATCTCGTGTACCACTGGACAAATTTTCACTAAACTTTCAGAAAGTAATCACTGGATGCACATGTGCAACTAATATATTTTTGGAGTCAGCGCAGGTCAAGATGGCTGCTGCAGCTAATCAACGTCATCTGCCACAAAAGTAACTAAAACTCAGCTAAGTTTACAGCTATCAAGCTAAAATTTGATGTGGTAGTAGCTGAGAGTCATTCACAACACGTACTCTGAGGGTGACGTCTTGTCATGAGAGTGCATAATGTCATTTTTAGAGTTTGACTAAAACAACCACTTCTCAACAAGATCCCAGTCTAAAACTGTAGGATGAAAGATGGCGGGTGATAGGCATTCCTCCAAGGTTGGACCTTGATTTTTTTTTATTCGTTTTCATACAAAAGGGGCTCCAACTGCAGGTGCATAGCTCCCTCTTGTGGCTGCCGGATGTAACTGATTCACTCACCTAAACTGTTGCCATGGCAGCCAGAGATGGCCCAGAGCCCTGTTACTATGGCGACGGCCAAGAAAATGAGCTTTCTGGGTTTGTTGGGGTGAAAAGACTCTAAGGTATGTTTGTATGGAGGTGTTTCTTTCTGTCTCCCTGCAGGTGTATGTGTGTGTGTGTGTGTGTGTGTGTGTGAGAGGGTGTGCATCTCTTACAGTGTGATGTCCCAAAGCAGCCATGATATCTGCCAGTGTTTGAGAAACACCGCCCAGGTTCCCTCTTGTCTTGTGTTTGCGCCTCCTCGGAGCTCGCCACTCCAGCCACAATTTGTGCTGGCTGACACCGCCTCTGTTGCCACGGTTACTAGCCAAACTGTTGCCAATCCCATCGTCTGATGCACTGGAGGTGCTGGGATTGAAACCGTGGACTTCACATCCTAGTCTTGACACAGTCTTTAGGAAGTCCGCATCTCCTCCATCCAGACTGGAACGCACAAAAGACAAAAACGGGAAGAGTAAGGAAGGGGGGAACGCAGAAGTCAGTTAAATATTTTGCATGCGTGATTAAATATGCATTGCATTGTTTATTCCAGCTGGGCCAGAGTATGAATGCATTGGCATGGGTGCATGGTGCGGACCTAAAGGAGTATGCAACACAGGGTGTATCTGCAGCTGGAAGGAGCCGTTCTTCGACACACAGCAGCCAGTGAGCTGAAGCCACAGGAGGTTGTGTTGGCTGAGCCATCCCTGGAGGTAAAACTCTGGAGCAGTTCAGCTGGGAACGGAGGGGAGAAGAAAGACATGAGATGAGTTGGATAGAGCTCAGAGAGGCGCCTGCCAAAGAATTACCATTCAGATGAGAACAGAGGAAGTTAAAGCAGAAGACATGGTTTGATGGCCAGTATTGTGAGATTTGAAAGGACTTTTTATCTGCAGACACAGTTTTAAACATCTTCATTCCCTGGAAACCGTCATATGAATTTTAAATATTTTAACTTATAGCTGAATAACTAAAGATATTTCATTTTTTTAGACACCTTTTTTTCCATCATGTACCAATCATTTACTTTGAACCATCGATAGAAATAAAAACTAGACGACCAAACTGAACCAGGAAGTTGAAACACAACGAAAAACCCAAATCTGACAATTCAGTGTATAATAAACAGAAGTGGGAAATAAAATGTCTTTTAAATGCAGCATACGGGAAGTCAAAAATCCATTTTGTAAACATTAATCTGTGCAGAAAAGAAAGCATCAGCAGTAGTTGCTAGGCAGAGGTATTTGTCCTAGTAGGGCTACCGTAGCTTCCTGTAGTTGAAACTTCAAGTGAAGCTGAGTCCTTTTTTCATCTTTTCTTCACTGAACCCTGAACAATTTATGTTTGTAAGTAGTAGTTAGATGATTGTCTTTAGTAATTGTTTGGAAATGTTTTATTCGTTTATAAATTTCCAAAGGTAAAACAAAACGCTTATCACAGTAGCTTTTTTATGTTTTTTTCACTAGGTTAGCATCTATGCTAATTGATATTCTGCAGCCTGTGATTATAAATGCATTTAGAGATATGTGCGTGCACTTTATTAAGCATGAAAATATATAAATCGGTGTTTATTTATGTAAACGAAGCCATGGGACAGGCAGCTTTGATTGGCAGCTGTCACTGAGCTAACAGTGTTAGCTTCTGCAGCCGAGAAGATCTCTGGGGAATAAAACATGAGCTCAGACTTTTTGGAGTCTATATGGCGTCGACGCTTTTTAGGAAGTTTCCAGTCTGAAAAATCCTAACTACTGGAACCTGCTGCCAACACATTGACGGAGCCTGACTGTTAACCCACACACCAGTCTGCAGAGGAACAAGTGAAGATAGTTGTAAACGTGAGGGTTTTATTGATTGCTGTTAAGTCTTGGCAAGATCTAATATATTTTTAAAAGTCTCCATTTAAATGTAAGATGTTAATCTGGAGACTTTGAGGGGAGTACTTTATATAAACCAGACAGGTAGTTCCCAACAAAAAATAAATAAAAATCCTAAAATATAATACGACGCCAAAACCCATCTGGTGCAAAACTGGTCTTTTTTCTCTAACTTTAGTCTGATTTAAGCAGTTTTCTCGTTAAAACAGTATTGTTTTAAACTAGTAAAATATTTTAAATAATAATTCAGACTTGTGCATTTTGGGTATATTTGCCTCCATTTCTCTGTCACCAACATGGTTGAAACTTTATGCAATAATTTTATGTCATCCAGAACTTTATACAACCATAGATGCTCCTATCTAATGCGAAAATTACCATTAAAAAAAAGGTACAATTTCAAAGTTGATATTTTTATGTTTCACTGTAAAATATGGATTTATGAGATTTGCAAACCATTGCTTACTGTTATTTTTATGTTCTGCAACTTTTTCAGAACTGGGGTTGGGTTTAATTTTTACCCAGTTTATACAGTTTTTAATGCATATTAACCATAAACTTCAAGTTATCTTTCAAACCATGCACAGACATTAAATAAAACATCTAGCGACGCTTTTGGACATTTGAGACGAGTATTTTTATATTTGTTGCGTGAGCCTATAAATCTGTGGGCACGTTTATTCGTTTCACCTGTTTCGTGCAGCCTACCTGTGGCCTTGTGATATACGTGATGAAACAATCGAGTTCGGCCGAGAAAGACGGCTCGTTCGCCGCCCACCGCTGCACCTTCAGCGCTCCGGGTCCCACCTGGGAACATCGCAACCACACTGTTTATCAATATCTAAAGACTACGGTGCAAGAAGTAGCAGCAAGCCCGTGGTTGAATAATGCATATGAATGACAGCGAGCGAGCGCTAAAGGAAGCGGGGTCGCAGGCGCTGACCCCAGGCCTGCTGATAATTGCCTGAGGCTCCTCAACGTATAAAAAACACACACACTTTTACACAAATCCCCCTCCTCTCTGCTCCTAACAATGAACCCTGTGGTCACCATGGCAACCTCTGAGTGGAGCAGGAGGGGTGCACTAGAATGAGTCAGTTCAGCCTTGGGCACATAAAGAGAGTGTGAGAGGAAGGAAGAAAAGAGAAGGGGAGCCAGAGAGCAGCGAGGGGAGAGAAGGTTTGGAGATGTTCAGAGTGACAGAGGGATGGAGATAACACGACCACAGACAGAACAGCTGCCATCTTTCTCTGATCTGGGGTCAGTGAAGGGCTCGCCCCTTGCCCCTCACCTGTTCTGCCATGCAGGTAATAATTCACAGAGCTGGACTCAACATCTGCTGCGTGACTCCACAGCATCAGGGCTCATTAGCTTTTCTAAGCTATCTGCATGGAGAGATGTTAAAGAATGGGCTCCTGGATGTGGACATCTGTAAACATCCTCCCACTCAGAACAAACGTTTGTTTTTACTTCTGTGTGCCATTTTATACATTCTGTAGATTCTCTGTTGTGGTTCTTTACTTTCCCATCATCCAGTTGTTTTATAGCAGCCTGTATTACCATCCTTTTATTTTTCTATGTGGTCGCTCTTGAGTCATTTTAAACACTTTACATCTTTTAAATCTCATGTCTTCTTTCTGTGTTTTTTATGTATCAGTGTCAGTCTGAGCTTGATTAAAAAAAATAACTTTAATAAACAAAAATATAAGGTTGACGTGACGGCAAAAACTACAAACCAAAACTCGAGAAGACTCGGACATAGCATGAAGACTGACGGTGAAGAGAAAGCTGAGGGATGTTACTGGTGAGAGGACTGGAGACACCTGGGCAAAACGACAACAGGGAACAGGTGAGAGAGGGCGGGGCAGGAGCTGAGGAGCAGAAACTCATGAAGAAGAGTGAACTGATGGCGCGGGACACTGGGAAAAACACTGAAACACTTAAAATACAAAATCAAAGGAAAAACAGATCCTTTTCTAAGATTTCTGTATTTGTATGTCTCGTTCTGTTGAAGGATATTTAAGTCCTCTCATCCCACCTGTAAAGCACACTGCCTGAATTATTCTACTAAAAACTACATATGTATGCGAGTGTGTAATATATATATGATGTAGCTTTTTGCAGTTAGCATAATATTAAATCTTCATATATTTGAAACATGTTTTTTTTTGTTTTAAAGCTCGTTATTACTACATTTATTAAACTATTGTTGTTTGTTTCTATTGTATTGTGTTAAAAATCTAACATTAAAGGACTTTTTATGTGTTTTCAAATAAATGTGCTTTTCTAAAAACCAAGTCGGTAAAAAATGGCAACATTTTGTAGCCAGCTTTTATTTTGCTCTCCTTCCAACAACTCGGAAACTTTTTGTTCGAGAACTTTCGGTCTGCTTCTACAAACCTGGCGCTCGTGCGTCTCGTTCTCCTCCTCGTACGCTCGCGCCCCATCCCTCGTGCCTCCATCGTCCTCCTCTCCCACCTCCTGTCTCCTGGGCACGGCTTCTGGTCGGTCCGAGCTCCTCCTGTCCGGCCCGATGCTGATAACGGAGAACGCGACCTCCCTGTCCGCCTCCTCTCCCGCCCACGAGCGCGCGGCTCCAGGTAGCCGCGAGGCGACGAGGAGGAGCTGGAGCGCGAGGAGGACGGATGGGATCAAAAGCAGCAGCGGCGGGAAACCTGAGGTTCTGGAGAGGAGCGACAAACCACCGAGGTCCCGCATCCCTCGGCCTCGAACCACTTCCTTTTTCTCCTCCAGGACAGAGGAAAGTCCCTGCTGAGTCCTCCTCCTCCTCCCTCTCCTTGAGGAGGCACATTCTCCGGCCAGTGGCCTTCTTGAGGCAAAAACTGCTTTTTATCCACAATTAACTCCGTTAATAATAAACTGAAATATCAGCTTTGAGTCAAGGAAAACAAGCTCATTCCCACTTTAAGAACATTTACTCTATGAGGTATCTCATAATTATGACTTAATTATGAGGTAGTAATTATAACTTAGTGTCTCAGTAATATATCACAGTTATATGACTTAATTATGAAACTGGATCAAATATTGATGATGTAGTATCTCAAAATTATGAGAACAAATCTCATAGTTAAAACTTAATATCTCAAAATATTTAGAAAGTATCACAATTATGAGATAGTGCCATGTTTATGACTTAGTGTCTCTAAATTATGAAAAATATTTCCTACTTATGACTCAGCATCTCATATTAACGAGGTTGTTCTCCCATTTTGTTTCTTTATGATTTAGTATCTTTGAGTATCTCATAATATTGAGTTAGTTTTTCATAAATATGTGGATCAGTATCTCATGTTGTGACTTAATTATAAGATAGTGTCTCAAATAAATGACAGTTAGGACTAAATATGAGATATCTCAGTTATGACTTGATTTTGTCATAATAATTTCTTAAATTTAATCAAAGGTTACTATCTCACAGTTATGACTTTGTATCTAAAATTTGTGACTAATTTATATAATAGCATCTCATAATCATGAGATGATATAATGTCATCATTTTGAGAGTGATCACATTGTGTTTTGCACTTTAATCTTTGTTTCTCTTCAGTGGCAGGAATGAGGTTTACACACTCTAAAAATAGTATTTGGGCTGTAGTTCATCTTAGGGACTTATTTATGTTAATCTCACCTAATTATTTTAGTTTAGTGAAGACAACTTACCTTTATAGGTTCGATTAACTTAAAAGTCATACATTTTATCTGAAATGAACTTTTTACTTTGAGTCCAAGTGAAACAATTAAGCTTAATGCAGCTTTAGTACGTCTGACGTCATGACGTAAACTTCACCCGAGACAGATCCCACTGTACCTGTGTGGAGTCCATGATGTCAAAAGCAAAAAACAGAAAGAACTATGCATCATACATTTGATAATACTCTTAGAGAAATACCACATATACAAATCAAAGTTTAGTCACTCTCTTCCCTCTTTCAGGCTTTCCAGAAGGAGTGTGAACTTTGTATACATTTCTGATTCTAATAACAAGAAAGCTATGAAAACACTTGATTTGTGCACCTTATTTACTGTGTTTATTTGAACAATGCCCCTGGCTTTTGTTTGTTTGTTTGTTTGAATGTATATTGATAACGGTCGTTGTAATGTTTTACTTTTAATAAAGATTTTTAAAGATTTAAAAAAACATGCCACTATACCGACCGCTTGTTCAACCACCATTTTTTCTCAGCATCAACTATCCACGAGATTTGGATTACAGTAGTCCCTCATTACTTTGCGTTTTGACTTTCACTGATTCGCTCTTTTGCCGTTTTTCAGAGTAAGATTAGACATGACACACAAATGGCTGATTGATGGATGAGCTACATGATGGGCATGGATTTTTTAGATTTAAAATAAATTATTTTAAATTATTTAGTACCTCCTGCACCTGTCTACACCCCACAGGTGCAGGGAGAAGCTTTCTCCTATCATGATCTACGCTCTTCAGAGGAGAAGTGGGTGTGGCCAAGAGCCTGGCAGGTGGCAGCATAGATATCATATAAAAGCTAGATCTCACATTGACCGCTATCGCCTATTGGCGCTGACGAGCCGTAGGGCCGCCATCTTGGAACGGTGGACCGCTCCACTCAGTGTAACCTGTTTAGCAGGAGCAATGAAGTATCTGCGCATTTAATCAGTCAGAGCTGAATACTAAACTCATTCTCACAATTTTTTCCTCTGTAAATCTTAGGCGTACA